CAGTATTTGGATCTTGGGGAGCATTGAATTTGCATCTGAATAAAAAGCTATAACCAGTGGCCTAGCAAAGCTGCTAACCACAAGACAGAATGGTATGTTAAAAATAACCTTGCAAGACACTTAGGCAAGCATTTTCCTAACAATATAGTAGTGTTGTAAGATCTATAGCTCACTGTGTAAAAGAAACAGGATGCAAACCACCGGCTATCATTAGAAGATGAAGCAGATTGTGCTTATGAATGCTTATGCTAAACCAGCCATTCACTTATGCTAAGTAGCCATCTTAACTGTGTAAGTCTGTGTGCTGTGAATGAGGTGAAGTCTTAGGAATGTGGAGATGGTACAACCTGGGACTGAAAAACAACATATAACTGGTAACAGAATCTGAGATAAACATATGCAAAAAGGTGAATGGTGATTGGTAAAGAAGCCTCCAGAAGCTTCTAGGCCTGCTCAAGTGACCAAAAGAAACTTGGGTCAGGGTCTTAAGCATGTGCTCATAGGAAAAAGACATGTAAATAAGACATAGGCAATTCCATGCTAATGAAACAAACAGTAAACAGAGACGGAGCTTAAGCTGGAAAGGACTAAGGGTGGAAAAAAGGAGGGACAAAGGTGGGGTAAATGTCAATAAGCATAAACCAAGGTGTATAAATATAGAAAAAAAACTAATGTTCGTGGCAGCTCCCCTGGTTTGTTGGAGCTGGCCCAAAGCTGTCTCCATTTTGAATAAAGCTGTTGATGAGCAATGTGTACAGGCGATACGTGATGGCATTGATCTGTTGCCTCCCTAGTTGTTGGGTGGCACATGGAGTTGAGGTCTAACAAACATCATATCTTGTTTCTTCTTTCAGTTGTGTCCCTTTTCCTGCATGTTCATTGTCTCTCCTCATACAACTTGAGAGGTTTTACATTCAAAGCTTGGAGACGCAACTCATCCTCCCCTCGCTGGTACCTTCACCTTAAAGGTGGAAGAGACCTTTTTAATCATGATATTCCTTCCCCCTGCCAATGAAGATCTGTCCAGCAATCAACTGTTGGAGCTTGCTTCCATTCATGCGTTAGAAATCCCAAGAGAGGCAATTCATTCTTTGGAAAGCTACTGTATAATCTAATACATTTCAATTTGGGCTCTAGTTTTACTTTTTCCTGAATTAGACGCTATGAAATCCTGAGCCTTTTGTAAGAAAAGGCTGGATTCTGTATTTTTACAAGAAGATTTAAGGCGCTGTGCATTAGTATGATTATTGTTTATACAAGTGTAAGTAGTTGGAGCCAAAAACATATAGCCAGAGCAAAAATAAATACAATGTATTAGTGGGGGGGGGGAGAATCTGAAAGTGAGTGTAATATATTCTAAGTAAATGAAACTGGATCTAGAGTAACTAAAGTACTGGGACATCTGTTGTCTCACAGGGAAAACAAAATCTAATTTTAACTCCTGAAATTCTAAAGCATTCATAAACCTGCAAATGACACCATCATTCCACTGAGAAGAAACATATGGGTACCAAGTAATTGAAATAGCAAAGCTAAATCGAGCTTAGAGATGTAAGCATTTTGTTAGAGACTGCTGCTATACGTGACTATTATTAATTAATACAGGGACTAGACAATTCTGATGAATTCCTGTTGACAAGCAAACTACTGCAAAAACTCCCACTGTATATAAAAGCTTCAAGGGCTTGAATGTACCGGTACCGATGCTCCTTTCCCCCTCACCTTCCCCAAGTTTATCTTCCTGAATGACAGATGGCTTGTTAAAAAAAAAAAAAAAAAAAAAAAAAAGAGCGCTGAATTGCCATCCCCTTCCATTGATTTTCACTCACTTGCACAAGTCAGCATCTTGTCCAGATGCTTCTCATTTTTTTAAAAAAGTTTTACTAACATCCACAAGGGACACAGGTGCAAACGCATTACAATATTTTCATGTTGCACACATTTCATAATAGTTAATTGGTACATCCATCAACCTGGTTTCAAAATGGGAGACAAAAATGTTCTCCTCTACTTTCCCTCAAAATTTTGGAAGTGCTATTTTTAGCTCTAGTGTTGAAGAAGGACAGCCTCTGTGTGCTCAGATAATCTACTGTAAGCATAGGAGCTGCAAGTCACTACTTAGCTGCATCAAATTTATTCCATATGATTCTATTTTAGTAGTAGTTTGCACTTAGTGCCACAGTGATCAAAGGATAAGGACCTGAAAATAATAGTCCAGTCACAATGAAACAAACATGATGTGACAGAGGATAAAGTCCATAATAACCAAAGAAAATATTAAATTGGTGACTACACATGGGGCAACTCTTCACAAGCTTTTCACTATTGCTAAGTTAAACAAGTAAAGCCAGCCTCACCTTAAAACTTACCTCTGAGTTTGGCTGTTTCCTGGAATCCTTGGGCGTTTGTAGACAACATGCAATTTCCCATTTATGCTGCTGCAACTGGAAAACTGCGTTTATGTTTGCACGAATGGGATTTCCTGCTGCTTTAAAAGTCTGTTCAACATGTTAAGCTAACGCTGCTCGATATGTTCTATTTTGCGGCACTCTCAGCTTACGTCACCCTATCTATGGATTTGTATAGTTGAAATAGTAAGGAATCATTACTAGTCACTGGGAAGGATTGTGTAGTCAACAACAGCAAGGTTTGAATGGATTTTTCACATTTGGTGCTGCTTTATTTAATCAAATCTTAGTGACCTAAGCTGAGAGTTTCAAAGCTGCTATGAGATTTGGACATCCACTTTGCACTAATTTTAATAGAGAATCCTGACTCCAAATGCCTCAGATAACTCTTCTAAGTTTCAGGGATGTACTTGGTACAGCCGTGTTGGTCTGTGTGACAGGGCAAGCTTTCATGCTTGGTGCAAGCACCAGCCTGTCCCCTGTCCATGGGTCTGCCACCCACCTCACTCTTCTGCCACACCTTGATGTAATAATATTGATGTAATAATTAGGCAGGAGGCTGTCCATTATACACCCCAATATTGGGGGGCTATCCATGGCTCCATTTCACCCCTACACCATGGTCCAAGCCTCACAGATGGCATCTCAGGCAGTCAACTCAATTATCCCCTTCACCCATTAGCTGTGGCCCGTTCCCTGGGACCTTTGGTTTCCCTTTAAGCCCTGGCCCCATCTCAGGCCAGTCAGGACTCTGAGCTTCTTTGCTGTATATGGGCGTACCTCACGGTGGGCCCCTGGCCCTTTTGTCCCCTATTTGGGTCCTAGCCCCAGCATTGACCAGTCAGGTCCTTCAGGTTAGGTCTATAAGCCTCCCACCTGCACTCAGGGATCGGGGTCCCCCATTCCCGGCTCAGGTGCTTCACAAAGCGTGCCTGGCCCTGCAGGGTCACTCACCCCAGCAGAGCCAGGCACTTCAAGAAGCTTACCTGGCCTTCCCTGGATTAGATGGTTCAAACAACCCACCCAAAGATGAGGGTGTGACAGCTGAAATTATGTCTGTGTGATACAGGTGCTTGCTGAAGGCCCTATGAAGATCAGACCAAGTCCTTTTTCTATATTTGTTTAGATATTAAGCTATATGTTGTTGCTAAGAACCCAATTAAAGATTAAGATGTAGTGAGGCCTTGTATAAAGTAAGGCCTAGTAAATTTAGCAAAGCCTAGAAGTAGTAAGGCCCTGTGGCGCAGTTAAAATTACCTTATCAAAGGAATGCAAGGGTTGTACTGCTAATTGGTCAGTCTAAGGACAGTTGAAGTAAAAGGAATCTGAGTGGTTGTTCACTATCAGTATCATTCAGAAGCTATAAATGAGCTGGAATATTTGGAAACCATTCAGAAGGAAGAAACAGCTCTGTGAAAAGGATTAGTTAGCTGTTGCCTGGATCAGTGGGCCTGTGGACCTCGAGGAGCCCAAGGACTGCATTCCAGGGTCCTTCCCAGTGCCCCTTTGGATAGTGCTGTTCAGGGACGCCTGACTTCATTGAACTTTGTGGAAAGAGAAGCTTGCTGCGTATCAGGCATCAGAGGGGACTGCTGATAAGTTGCCAATGCAAATTGCTTTTATCTGTCATTGTTTGTCTTGTTACTACGCGTAGTTGTGTTTTCGTTAAGTCAATAAATCTTTCTTACCTTTCTACCCCCGACCACACTCTCAATCCCGAACCCTCCACAGGCAGCTGGGACATGAGGGCTGGGGTTAAGGTGCTCCTACCCATTTTTTACCGGGGTGGTAACTGGCCTGGCATTTCCTGGGGGCTCCCGCACCACTGGGAGCCCCACCAGACCACCCAATCCCTGCACAGTGAAGATTTAGGTCATGCTCAGGACCAGAGCCTCCTGCTCCTACCTGCAAGATGTTCCCATGCAACAGCTCAGCCACGTGATATTTCTTGCCTGGATCCCAGCAATAAACTGCTCTTGTTTATATAGGCAGCCAGAGTTCTAAAATGGCCACTGTAATTAAACACCTGCTGAGTGTTTGACTTAGCTTTTAAAGTGGCAGGCACCGCTGGTGCTCTGCCACAGTCCAAGACAAGAAGACATACAAAAAACTAGAACTCTTGGCTCCAAAATGATACCTTTTATTAGACTAACTGGGAAATAGCAAGAAAAGTGTCCTTTTGGAAGATGCCAAATTTTAGCCGATTTTGGATTTTAAATTTCATTGCAGAATAACAAGAAAGATTTTTTACCATCCTGCCTGCCATCTGACACCTCCAGGGAAGGAATTCTACCTGACCTACACATCAATAAGCTACTCAGCACAGCTCAGGCACTCTCATGGACCCAGAGGGACAGCCTTCCATCTTCAGCTCCCTACGTGCAAAAATGCAGTTTATTTCCTACCTATGGGGACTTGTTCCCATCCTATACCATCTATACTTTTGCCAGAGTGTGGCAGGTCACTGTTTCTGCCTGCCACTTTAAAGGGCCAGAAGGCAACAGCCAGCAGGTGCCTGATTAGGGCAGCCATTTTAGATTCAGGGCTGCCCATATAAACAGGGCAGTTCTGATGCTGGAGAACAGGCAACAACATTACCTGGCTGGAGGGCTGCTGATATAATCTGGAGGTAAGGGGGAGCTGTAGGGGATGGTAAGGAGGCTCCTGGTCCTGGGCATGACCTAAAACTGCACCCTGCCAGGAGTGGGTGGCCTGGTGGGGCTCTCAGTGGTGCAGGAAACCCCCAGGAAATGCCAGGCTAGTTACCACCCTGGTGAAAGGTGGGTTGGGGTGCCTTTCCAGATGGATTCTCTCGGTTTCGGCTGTGGGGGCTGCCTGTTGTTTTTTCAGGCTCTGGGGTCTGGGACTATGGCCACCTCCCCTTGTGAGGTCTGCCCCCTTTTAGGGTCTCTGGCATGCCAGCTGGAGGAGCTCCAGGCCACAGTCCAGAGACTGTGCGCCATCAGAGACTGTGAGCAGGAGATTGACTCCTACTGCCAAGCCCTTCTCCCCTGGGAGATGGAGGGTACACCACGGTCTCCCTCCAGGACAAGGGAACACTTGGGGACCTCCCGTTCTGTCCAGCCAAGGGGCTGGACCAAGGTGGTCAAGGGCCCCAAGGCCCGCCGCACCAAAGTCCCTGCCCTGCTGGAGCTTTGCAACAGGTTTGAACCTCTTGTAGCCCCAGCAGAGCCTTATAAGTTGCCAGCTCCTGCAAGCAACACAGGCTCTACCGTAGCTACCACCCCCGCTCTCCCTAAGACAAAACACAAAGTGTTTGTCATGGGAGACTCCATCCTGAGGGGGACTGAGGGGACAATCTGCCGCCCTGACCTTTTAGCCTGGGAAGTCTGTTGCTTCCTGGGAGCCTGAATCCAAGACATTGCAGAGAAGATCCCTAAACTCCTCCAGCCCACTGACCACTACTCTATGCTCCTTATCCATGTGGGCACCAATGACACAGCGCTCCCAGCTGGGTCATGAAGTGCTACAGGGATTTGGCAGTGGGGCTAAAGGGTCTTGGGGAACAGGTGGTGTTTTCTACAATCCTCCCAGTCTCGGGCTACAGGCTGAGGGAGAGGAGGATCCAGGTAGTGAACCGAAGACTGCGGCACTGGTGTCATCAGGAAGGCTGTGGCT